GTACTTTGATATTCTAAAAGTTGCCTCGGGCAAAATAGAATTGTATACCCTTGGTCTTGCTCTTGCTTTGAACTCCTCAGTCGAGGGTTAAGCGAATCGCACAGCGACGAGCGTTACTTGTTGTTTTATCCTTTTACTTCTACTTGGAATTGAAAATTGTAAGTAGGTATACTTTTTTTATTAGAATTATTGCTTTTAATATTTTAAAGATAGAAGTGAAAATTCCAGCTAAGTATAATTTTCATTAAACACTTATTATTTTTACTCTTTTAGTTCAAAATTCGATATCGCAATCGCAAGTAAGTATAATTTTTTTATTAAACCATTAATATTTTTATTCTTTTAGTGAAAAAACGAATTCATAATCTAACGTAAGTATAATTTTTCTTTCAATAATTCTTACTTTTATTCTTTTAGTCGAGAAATGAACTGCGAATTCGAACGCAAATTTAATTTTTTAAAACTAATTATTATATTTTTATTCTTTTAGTTGAAGATCAAATTCAAATTCACGGGGGATTATTATTTTGAACAAATAATTTTTTTAATTTCTTTTATTTAGGTTAATCGCAATATCAAAAAGAACAGTAAGTATTATTTGAATTAAATTAATAATTTTTACCTTTTAGCATTGGTTGGGCCGCTTGAACAATAGTAAATATTTTTAATTTTTGATTAATTTTTCTATTTTCCTCAATTATATTTGCTTCAATGACTCATCAAATTGAACATGATTTTTGGCTAAAAGTAAGTTTCCCGAAACCCGTTAGAAGGGTATTTGAAAGGCTTTAGTAAGATACTAAACCCTTCTATAAACCCTTTAGAAGGGTCTATGAAAGGGTATATTGATTTCCTAAACCCTTTCATATACCCTCCTGAAGGACTTAGGATAGGGTTTATTACTTTCCTAAACCCTTTGGAAGGGTTTAGGAATGTTTCATCGACGGTAAAAAGGGTTTGTGATACGTTGCACTTTAATAAACCCTATTAGGGTTTATTATTCTACTTTTATTTTTTGCAGTGCACTTCGATACAGAATGTTTTTGCCTGTCAGAGTATATAAGAACGGCTTAGATATTCAAATTTTGTTTTATCGATAAATACTAAATACCGCTCCGATTGCGTCATGTAGTCAGACANAAAAGTCTTAAAATAAGCTAACCTCCGGTGGATGTTTTTTTGACCTCAAGCAAACACACAAACAAACGCATTTTAGTTTTTTTCATATGACCCTCCCTTCAGTCGAGGGAATAATTAAAATACAAAGATTTTACTTACCAATAAACCCTTTCACACAAGTGTATAATAATAAACCCTTCATCGTAGATTCACAAACCCTTCTTCTTAAATTCTGGTGCAATAAACCCTTTTTATTTTCAAATACCCTTCGTTTCATAAACGCTTCAGGAAATAAACGGTTTTAGAGTTTCTGACAAAAGCATAAACCCTCAAAAGTGTTTATGAAACCTTTCTTTAGTACTAGGGTTTAGTATTCTACGATTTTTTTTACAATGTGGTCTATTTCAAACAGTATAAAACGAATATTCGTGGACCTTTGAGCCAATAGCTGTTTTTAAGTCTTCCCGAAAGTGCTTCAGATCTTTCTTAGTATCCAATGAATTTTAAACTCTAAGATGATATTTGTGATCAGGAAACTTAACTTTATCGAAATATAACTATTCGCACTAAAATTAGAATAAAACGTTTTTTCGATCCATGAGGGGTAGGTACCCCAGATGTTAAAAATTGATTTTTCATAAAATACACAGTAAACTCCTGGAAAATAGTTGGAATTCAATGATGACTCTTAAGTTAATAACACTAAGTGCAGGTTTTTTAGTGGTCAGGTTTCTAATTTGGCACACCTCTGATTTGATTATAGCATTAGTGTATTCAACAAGATTGTGGAAAAACAATGAGTTTAACAGAGAATTAAATCATCCTGTCGTATATTACTCCTTTATTTTTCTGTAGCTTTTCGGCAACTACTAACACCTTCAGCACCTGCTCAGCACCTTCAGCACTTTATAGTAAATTTTGTTGCTTGGAGCCAGCACTTCCCCCCTTGGCTTCTATAATATTCACTGAATTCCATTAATTCATGAGTATATACTGCCCATGTAACTTTTTTCCGAGTCGTAACGCAACGCGTCTCTGAGCGTTTCCCATGTAAAAAAAATAATCGTAAAAATCAACATTTACATGATTTTCATCGATTCGCAGCTCCAATAATCGATGAAAATGTCGAAATTAAGGTTTTTTTTATTAATTTTATGATTATAATCGACTTTTTCGCGCATTTGATTCGTAATCAACGTTTTTTCATCCATTATCAGCGGTTTTATTACTGATATCTATTAAAACCGATTAGAAATTAAAGTAATCGCTCAAATCCGCTCTTTTATTAATCGATTTGAATCAAATTTTACGGATAATCAATTTTCATCAGTAACTGGTGATTTTCTTCTAGAAAATAATCGATTGATAATGCTTTCAATCCATATGAATCGATTATATTCTTTAATCGGTTATAATCTGAAATCTGAAAATCGTCTATGTGCAAGATACAAATTATTTATAGTAATAAAAAGGTGACATTATTCAAATTTGATTTGTCCAATTTTGGATGCTGTTGAACTGTAGTTTTAAATTTCATGATAAGAAGAATGATTTGCGAATTATTTATTTTGAAAGAGCGTTAAAAATACAGCGATGAAGAGTTTTTGAGAAGTTTAACGATATCATCGTCTTTATTTTGTGATCTTATAATTTTTAATTACAAATTTGACAAGATCAAGTAAGACTCAATGAGAAACATAAGAATTCTCCTCCTGTTGTTGAAAGTTTGACGACAGATTGTTCGAATATGTGATGAATTATCGGTAACTTTCAAATCACTCCCACAATACTTTTGTCAAACATTGAGAATGTGGGCTACCTTAGTGTAAGTTCTGAGTAACTAGTATAGGAATAGATTAACACTAGTAGGTGTATTTATGAAGCAAGGACCCACAGTGATACTGTTACCAATTATTTTTCAACACAAATTTGATCCAGTAGTGCGTGTTCTTAAACCTTGATCTAGTTATCAAATTGAAAATTACATGTATGAGAGTCTCTCATTCTATCAGCTATTTCTTTTAGTGAGGATTGAAGTTTGTGATCGATTCTGTAAAAGAATCGGTGTCACTCAATAGCTCACTTTTCTTCTTCCGGATTTTACAAATAAGCTGTTACTGATTTCGAAACATTGATGTCTAAAGAAAATTTGCTCCTCAGTAAAATGGTTCGTGCTAAGAGGTAATTATCTATTGTTTCTAGTCACGGAAAATTATATTGGTCAGCGATTCTAATACTCACAAGGGAAGGTACCTGGGTGTTTCTCTGGAATTTCAACGAAATCTACGTGGATTTATGAAGTAAAGCGTTGGTATCTCAAATACAGAAAAATTTGCGGCTGAGACTAATCCGTTAAAAAAATTTAGAACAAAACTGTTTTATCCTTAGGACCCTGAGGGAGATCACAGATTGGATTTTTTAAACGAAAAGTCATGTCTTTCTTGAAATCGGCTCTTTCATTCCGCACGTCCATGTTTGCTTACTGTTAGCAGCTTTAATACAGGAGAAGATAATACCTTCGTAAAAAATGTTTGCCCGTGTTTGAATATCAAGTAGTCAAGAGACATTTTCTATCTCTTCAAATATTTAGGATAGAAAAAGATAAAGCCAATACATTTTTATGGTGATTTGTTCTCTATAACACCATAAAGGAATTCTATCGTAATGATTATTGTTGTAAATTTATACGACTCATCGTATTCGGATCAAATTAACACTCTCGCTGATATACTAATAAAGCATATGGGTACACAACAGTAACATTTATCCATTCTTGAATTATTAAAATATATGAGGGGTCCACGAGAAATTAAAGGGCTATAGGGACTAAAGAGAGTAAAAGGACTATATAATTTATAAAAAAAAGTAACACTTTTCTATAGAAAAGTAAAACAGGATAACTCTAATTTCTCGTGAACCTATGTTGATGTTTCAATCTTACATTTTTTGTGGTTTCTTATCAGCACTAGGATATTTTTCAGATTTAAAAGCAATTCTTGATAGAGAACGGAGGCAGTCATGAATTAATAGACGACATATCAATAATAAGTATAAGTACATGATATTTTGATTTCGACAGTGTAAACCAAATCCAAGCTTTTTCAATCGTTTTGGTCTCTACTATCGACTATGAATATTTGTTTTTCATAAGGATCAATATATTACTATGTAGCTGTAAGTTAAATATCTTGTATCATTAGTAAAGTAGTTTCTATTTACTGTAATAAAACTAATTTGTTGACTGTATGATTTGACGTTGATTGTCTTACTAGGGAATTTATTTTACCTTTGAAATAGTGAGTATTTGAATAGTATCAAAGATTAAAATGAAATATGTAAAGAACCAAAAATAAAACGATTTTTATTTGGTATTCGATGCAAAAAAAGAAATATTCGCAGCTTTAGTATTACTCTACACAAACGACAATAGTTGTTGGTATCCCGAATACTAAAATAAAGTTTCATATCACGCGAGAATATGGCAAGAGTAATAAATACTTCTTTTGAAATATTTGAGCTGTGTTATAGGTTGATGAGGTTTCTCAATTTTTTAATGTATTTCATGTGTGTTAAAAAAAAACGAAATGAAACCAATCACAATAACTTTTTGGTTTTCATTCTCTGAGAATAGAGATAGATATATCTTTCAATACAACAATTGCATTCTATTAGATTGATATCTCTACTTACAGTCGCTTTTCAAAACGAGCAAAGTTCTCTGAAAATTAAAGCATGAAACTAGAGAAATCTCATTCTCTTTTCGAAGTATTCGCAATGGTTGATTGATCGAATAAATTGAAAGGTAATAATGAGAAAACCATTGACAGTTTTTTCTATCGAGCAATTTGAATAGAAGCAGTATCGAACTCGCCTAAAGCAAAGTTTTATTTACCGTCAACCATCTACTAAGGGATTCAAATAAGGAAACAAAAAGAAAATGCCATAATTTTTCTTCTTCCTTTCCTTTTTCTTACTAGCAAGCGTGTAAACATTAAAAGTAATGCAGTAGGAATGTTAAATTCTTCGACCTCTTTTTTTTCTTTCCGTGAACCAAGTAATTGAAAAAAAGACCTTGTCTTTGCTTTTTTTCTTCTTTTCTACAGCAGCATATGGATTTATGTAATCAAAATTTCATTTTAGACACTCGATGACATTTCTTACAAGATTTTTATCTTGGTTCTATAATTGGAAATATAAAATTTTGATCGTTATAATCATTATATTTTTTTCTTGGTTTCATCTATCGATATTATTCTATTATCACAGCTTAAGCCCATCTTTCATAGTTTACAATAAACATTTCAATCAATCATTACCCCTTATTTTACTTTATACACATAATAGGTCACATAAAGCACGAAATAATATTTGTAGAGGTACTCGCAACGGTGGACACGTTGTTAATTTTGAGAGATGCCCAAAAAAATGTCAATTCTCATGTCAACTACAAGACTTCAAACAGCGTTCACCACTTGCAGTGCTGTGTTTTGGTGAGGATTTCTATTGGTCTCTTAACTTAACTGATCAGGATCGGTTATCATATAAACAGAGATGGATATTTTGGTCATGGGAAGCACCTATCAATCATCCAGAATATAGTCGATCTCGTTTAACTTTTAATTGGTTTGCTTAAATTTTAGCTTTTGTTTCGTAATTAAAATTTTATATTCTTTCAATTTAGGACTATGACCTATCGACAAGATTCAGATATTATTCATGATTATGGCCGATATATTGCACGTAATCTATCATATTCAATTCGTGATTATCAAGCAGTGGATTTTTATTTATCAAAAGAAACAAACCAATCAACATTTGATGCCGGAAAAGAATTTTCAGCTCGAGAAAATAAAATTTTATGGATCGTGTCAAATTGTAAAGCTCGAATAAATCGACGTCAAATAGGTACCAAACTAAATAGTTACTTTCCAATTGATCAGTATGGTGGATGTTCATTATTAAATAAAAGGGCCAAGATATTATCACCCAAAGATTTTGAACAAACACTTTTTAAGTACAAATTTTATTTAGCATTCGAAAATTCGAACTGTCAAGATTATATCACTGAAAAAGCATTCTATAATGCATTAGCACATGGAAGTATTCCTATCGTTTTGGGAACAGATGAAAATAATTATAAAAATATTTTACCGCCAAATTCATTTATTTATATTGAACATTATAAAAATATGAGCGATCTTGCTAATCAACTAAGAAATATAAGTCAAAATTTAGATTTATTTAAATTCTATCATCAATGGCGGATTCATTATCGATTAATTGTATGGCCATCGAATTATTTTATTGATAATCTCTTTTGCAATTTATGTATTAAATTATATGAAGATGAAAAACCAAAGAGTTATAATAATTTTTCACGATGGTTGAATCAATGCAAATAAATATTATTCGTGGATTTAGAAAACTTCATAGCAGATCAATAGAGTAATGTTCAATTATTTTAATGCATGGTATTACAATCAGGGAAAATTCGAAAATTTCATACTTCATATATGAGTAAATGAAAAATATTTTCTTTATACTTCTCGATTTATAGTCTAATATGTTGATAGAAAAGCTAAAGTCTGAATGTTTGAGCTCAAGTTAGAGAGAAAAATGCAATTTTAACTTTTTATGCAAAATAATCGTTACCAAAAAATATTGAATAAAACTAATACTTTTTTTTTAAGTGTAAACGTCTTGCCACTAAATAAAACATATTTTTTAATATTTCAGTTACAATTAATATGATGTATGATTTCATTTAAATGTCTTGATTTGATTCTGGTCAAATGCTATGCAAATTGACTAGCTCGTTGAAACAAAAAATTTGTCAGAAGAAAATAAGTTGTTCATTGCTTTAAAAGAAACTTTACAATCGAAATATTAAAACGAAGATAATATCGGTAAACAAATAATAAGCACTGATTCATATGAGAGAACTAATGGGATTGTATATTAGCAGATAATTTTCTGTGTTCCCTAAATGCTAGTCGGCGATGAAAGATAATTATTGTAATATTTTGGTCTAAGAATAAAAGAAAAATAATATCCAGAACTGGACTTCAATTCTGCGAGATATGTCTGTCACGGTCTATAACAGTCACTAACAGGGTGGCCAGATCTTCTGAAAACTAGGGAAAATTTCTGAATTTTGAACATGTTTCTGATTTTTTCTGAATTTGGAATATTTTCAGATCGCTGCTTTGCCACTGAAATTAGGTACGATTATAACCCATTACTATAATAAATCAATAGTGTTTCATCCATTTTCTGTATTAATCATCGTTTATATTCCTCGTTCGAATTCTGGAGTCGAATTGATTTTCGGTTATATGAAGCATTTATAGTTCGATTATCGTAATCCAGTAATATAAAACCAGATAATGCTTAATTTAAAATAAAAGTGATTGGCAATTATTCTTGAGAAGGTTTTTATTAGCATATGTTATCTTAAACAAACTTTCTAGAGCAAATTCCAAAAGATACGAAATATGAATAACAATACCGAGATGATGGAATTTAACTTTTTTTCTCGTTGGATTTCTTAACCTACGCAGAATGTATCTTATTTAGTTTTGCTCGTTTTTGTGAACGAGTTTTAAATTTAAAAGGAAGTTCAACATTAAGTATCTTTTCTTGATGTTTGCGTATTAGCTAAACGATATTTTTCACTATAGCTTCTTTCGTTTTATTTAAATATCTTCGAAAATAAAGTTCCAGTCAGTGAACAGAAACGCAGCAGACTTTTGGATGTCAGTATTTTAGAGGAAGATGTACTTAATTTGTCAAAAACTGCCATTTTCTGATTAATATCTGATTTTTCAGAGATAGTTTCTGATCGTTTTCTGATTTTGAAAAAATATTTTCTGATTTTTCAATTTTTGATCTGGTCACCCTGTATATAACTGACTACAGAACTCGTTCTTTTTTCGTCAGAGTAGTTACAAATTTTAATAATTTTCTTTGTATTTGAAATCCAAAACAATTTATCAGTTTGTATTTTGCACATTTTACAACGTATTACTTACATCTGCACCAAAAAACATAAAAATATCATCAGTTGATGGACGACTTAAAGCAGCTTTTAGATTAACAACACCATTTATACATCCCATCTTTGCATTTATTTTTTGACTTAAATTTTGCACATCTTAAAAGTAAAAAGTAAATTAATAAAACAAGAGTAAATCATTCGTTATTTATTCTTACACATATCAAGTTTACTAAGATTTCTCTCCAATGTTTGATAACTAACGCATTGTGTCACCAAACCATATCGTTGATTACCACATTGTTTAATATAATCATAAACATTTTCTGTTGTATTATTAAGTATGACAATTGCTAATTGCCATTTTTCATTGCTCGCATTATGTAATGTTGCTTCTATATCACTTTTACCAGGTGGTTTAGCTACTGTGATTGGTTTTGATTTCATTGTAATACCATAACGTTGTAATAGCTAGAAAAGAAAAAGTTTATATAAAAACATTGAAAAAGAAAAATTTACCGGTGGCAAACGAGTTTCAAAATCTTTGAGCGATTCAATAATATTTTCATTGGGTTTAGAACCAAAATAAATCATGCCCCATTTAGTAATATCTCGTGTTGTATAAAATCGATTACGTATTGTCCATTTGCCAAAACTTACACGTTCAGCTATGTCTGTTTTACCTTGGCCACGGTATTTAATTTCCGGTGGTGGCAATATTCGAGCTTTCACTTGAAGCATTTCTTTTGTTTCAACTTTAATATCTAATTCTTTTAAATAAGAATCATTATCAAAATCACGATCATTGACAATCTTCATTATTTGATCATAACGTTGTTCAGGTTTAATAACTGACTTTTTTGTTACTAATGCACGTTGTACACTATCCAATGGTTTCAATGAACGTTCCCATGGAACAAGCTAAAGACAAAAGTTTTTCATAGTTGTTTTAGTTCTTGTATTTTTGGTTAAGAAAAATAATATCATACTTTAACTAATTCCATAGGTAGCCAATTAGCTCGTTTTTGTTGACCACTCATGCCATCAATGCATGGCAAATTTGGATACTTCAATTTTTGATATTTTTCAGCAAAAAAATCGGCAACGCTTATTTTTTCACCTAATGATGCATCACCAACTTCGTCACTAGCACCACGTACAAACATAATTTGATTAGCTGGTAAACCGAATCCACGTATACGATAGCGAATATCACGACCTGTATGAAGTGTTTCAACTAAAAGAAAGAAAAACATATTATGAAAACCAATTGTAAACTGTTGCCTTGCTAATTGTGACTTACTTAACATATTACGAACAATACGTTTAAAACCTTGCAATTCATTTTCATTTAAGCCCTTTGTTATATCTTTACGAAGATATTTCGTTGCAAATTCAACAAAATTTAATGGCATATAAAAACAAGTAAAAGCAAGATTGACGTTCAATGTAGGACCACATTGTGTTAGAAAAAGTGCTTGATAGAAACCATTTGCCATTCCACGGCCATCACCTAAAAAAACAGATTCATAGAATTCAGTGTTTTAATATGTAAACAAAATATTTTGGTGATCAATCAAAATTTAGTACATTCGATTGGGGCAAGATTTTACTTCGCATCAATTTAAACTTTTCTCGTTATTCTATAACTTCTCATTCTATCACTGTATTTTTTTCATAGAGAGAGTTAATATTATTTTAGGTAATCCAATACTTCATTCTTTAGTAAACCTAAACTTTGTGAAGTTCGATATCAGAACGATTTTAAGTCAAAAGAAAAAAGTTTATCTCGAAATGAATACTTACCGAGATCATCAAGTTTTTGACGACGATCATAAAATTGATTTCGAATGGCAATCAGATCATTTCTTGCACGTTGTTTAAATAGTGTTTCAATAATTCGAATGGCGTCTCTTGGTCGAACCGAAGTTTTCTTTTCAATGAAATCAAAAATATCTCGAATTTTTTCTTGTCGTACAAGATTAAGAACATGAAATTGAAATGTTTTATCTTCATTATTCATTTTAAATGTAATTTGTAATGGTTTGGTAAAATCAGTTAATAATTCTTTTGTGTAAATTGTTTTACCTTCATCATACCAAATAATAGGAAAGTCTTTTTCACGTTTGGCAATACGTTGAACTGTTTCCCAACGTTCATCTTTACGAGCTAAACGTGGCTTTTGATCTCTTCCAATCATATAAATTTCAACATCATATTGATTTACAAATTCATCGGCAATTTTAACACGAAAGTGATTTGTATATACTTCAATTACTTTGCCAACAGTACCACCTTGATCAGGACGACGAATCGGTGCTAATACAGCAGATTCAGGTACAGCTGAATGTAAACATGGACGTCGATTTGTTGGGCGTGCACTTTGAGAACGAACTGCTGGTTGTGGTGCAGTTGAATCTATTGAAAGTTTTTCCATTGCTTCACGTGGTGTTGGAAATGCACTTGATGAACGTTCGGTTGGAGTTACATTAACAGGTGCTGGTGTCTGTACTGGTGGTGCACCCCAAGCTGATTTTTTTGGTACCGTGGCAGTACTTACACCATTAATCTGTGTTGGCTCAGGATTTGGCTTTGAATCAGCACGAGCTATTGATATTACAATAGAGAATGTATTTTTATAACAGAAGAAAATAATTACCTTTTCTTTGAGCCCATGCAGACATTGTAGATGAACGAAACAATTATTTTGATAATCAAATGTAATATTTCTTCACTTTGTATAATGTAGATTAAAAATTTGTGGTTAATTGATCTAGAAGTGTATTGATAAAGTTTATTTCGTAATCTAAAAACAAAACAATTTACACGCGTGCCCCTCTAACAGTTAGAATAAAATCAAGTACGACCGTTTTATGTATCTACTAAATTTCTTATAATTTATAGTGATATATGACAAGACAAGCAACAAAATTTATACGCGAGAATATTTTTCCTCAGCGATGTATGATCATTTATTTGTTAAGTGACTATATGATTCAAGTGAATCGAAGAAAACAAGAATGACATGGAGAACGAAAAATAAATCCATGCAGGAAGAAAAGAGAGGGCACGAAAATGGGTATTTTTATGAAAAAGAAAGTTGCTTACAACGACATAGACATAAAATAAAATGAAACCTTCGATGTTTAGACAAGAATATAGAGAACATTTATCACAATAAAAAAGACTCTACTTTTATAGTTTAAAAATAATTTTATCTTGCATATTGTTTGATCCCAATATGGGAGGATCTTTGCAATATACTATTTCTTCGAAAGAAGAAAAAATAAAGATAAAAAGAATTTTAATATGCGCGTATGTCGAGAACAGCAGACCACTCATTTTTATGACATACAATCGAATGTCTCGAAACATATTACAATAGAATCTACCAATAGTAAATTACTTGTTTGTGAATAAACCCCTCCCCGTAATAAAAGACCCCGGGTCTTCTATTACGTCCAAGCGTAAAAAGTTTCCAAAGGGGTCTTCTATTATGTCCACTAATTTTTGTAATTATTAATTAAAAAAGTTTTCCAAAAAACCCTTTTAGTTTTGAGCTTTTATGAAGAGATTTTTTGGGTTTTCAAAGTGCAATAGTGATGTACACCTTGTTCGTACAACAGTTACAATCAAAAAACCCCGAAATTATGCTTACTTTTAAGGAAATTTACTAATTAAAATATTAATTATACTAGTTTATTAACTAATTAAAAGGGGTCTTGTAATACGCCTTTTAAAATTTTTGTTGAAATGGGTCTTCTAATATGAGGGGGTCTTCTATTATAGGGAGGGGTTTAGTTTAGTTGATTATTGGTGGATGTTAAATTCAAGCATAGTTTAAAACACATCGAATGTGTAGCGAATTAACTATTTTATTACGATCTATATAATGAAAAAAAAAGACTTCTCCAAAGAAATCAGTAGACAAATAGATTGGTGTGAACAGTGTGAAACTGATCGATTCTTGTAGTTGTCGATATATTTCTCCTAATGTGACATGCCCCGGTGAAAAATATTCGCCGATTTCAATCAAATTAATTTCCACTAGACTAGCAATAGCATTAAGTTTGGGTTAAATAGTAGTCGATTAAAATCAAAATTATCAATCCGGTTGAGGATTGGATTTTGTTGCACAATAAGTTGATTGAAATCAGTGAATACTTTTCACTGAGGTATAATCATCGGCATGCTCACTCTGAATTATTTTCAAAGCGAAACATTGTTTTCTTCATTTGTGAATAGTGTTCATGTTATCTGGATTTATTTATTTAATCGATGGACGACCATCAATCATGACTAATTGCAATAAACCCTATATTTTACAATGTTCTTCAAAAATACATTAATTGAAATCTCCTTCGCTCACATCATCATTCTTTTTATTTGATTTTTATAAGACTTTTACTAATAAAAAAAAAGAAGAAATATATCTTTCTTACATTCAAGACGCGCTGTCTTAATCGTATATATATATTTTGTTGTTGCTATGGAATTTATAGAAACATAATATGCCATATAATATTATATTATTTAAAAATTGGTTAGTTCACAGAAAATAAAAATGACAGAATTTTATTGGTGAAGAAAATGAAATATATATATATCTTTTCTCTGTATGAAACTTCCTTTTTCTTTATTATCTAGAATATAAAATACAGTAATCATGCATAGATGTACAACATTATGGTCGAAGAACTCGTTTAGCAATATTTCTAGCTGATTTTTTCGCTCCACTTTGTTTGGAGTCTGCATTACCAGTAATGATATTTGAAAGATTATGTAATGAATTTAAATTGTTATCATTTTCATAATTATCTCTTTTTGAACTTCCACCACCAGGTTGTTGTCCTTGTAAATCAACTATTTTAATCATTGATAACATTTCTTTATCGTATTTGTCTTGATCGTCTAAAGATTTTTTCTTCTTTTGATTAGCAGTTTTTGCTTCATATTTCAAAACATTTAATAGTGCTGCACAATTTGAACACCATTTACCTAGTATATTTTCTATACGATTCAATGCTGCTGAATTAACATCACGTGCTATAGCAAACTCAACATTAAGATGGCTATTTAATTGATCTAATTTTCCACGTATAACTTGAGCATAGATTCCATCGATAATTAAATCTTCAAGTTCACGTATATTTTCAATTTGAAGTTGTTTTAACAGCAGTTCATAGGGTAATACTCGAGCATGAACAGCAAGTGAGGCCAACGTTAACAATTGTAATTTACGTCGTGCTAATGGAGATAAATTAATAAAATGTGAACGTTGCGATTCATAATCCGATATTGTTCCATAGGCAAATAATTCTAACGTCGATAAAACAAGTAAATGATCTTGCTTGAGAGCATTCACAAGTGATTCAAGACGAAGAAATTCATCGAAACCAAATATATCGGGATGGTCAAGTACACGAGTTACTAAATCAACAGCCGCTGCGCCACGAACTGATTTAGCTAATAAAAGAAATTGTTGAGCAGCTACAGAAGACATCTTAAACAATTTTAGAAAACAAAATAAATCTACCATGTGATTTATACAAACAGTAAAGGTACAAAAGTTCTTTTTTTTTGATCATTATGCGAGATAAACAACAAATTAATTTTTCTTCATTGAAAATGAAGTAAAAGGATACATAAACTTTAATTAGAATTATCATTTCGTCTTTGATTCGATTTCAAATACTTATATATCATTCAGCTAATGAAAATTAGTACCAAAGAAAAAGTGAATGGCCCACAAGAGAGCACAATGCGTGATTTAACAATTAAATTAGACTTACTATGTAACTACAGATAACTGCACGAGACAGTGCTATTTGATTTATGACTATATCACATTCGAGTGGACCTTAAGGTATTTGATGATTGCAATAGAATTTCACTAAGTTATATATGTGTAAAAAAATTAGATTATAACAAAAAAAAACACGCACCTTTTCTCAGAACAAGTGTAGCAGATTGTGATTTAACATGAACAACTTATAAACATTCACCGTTAGATCTTTCAGTAAAAAGCATTCCTTCTGTAAAGGACGAGTCTCGATAAAGCTATTTTTCGGCTCAAAATATTTTCAAGAAATAACTATATAACAGTTACAAGGCCCATATGTACTACAAATATCACAGGGTCATTTTGTTTGAAATTACTTCCGGGTTTGTCACTCCTGTACCCCCTAGAGGAATTCGAAATTTTTGTTTTTTTAAATTTAGTTAATTAAAGTTATTACAAATAGCAAGTCAGTCATGCTGGTTACAAATATCCTCGTTGTAATTCTCCAGGATGTATTGTTGGTTGGGATTTCGAGTTTTACATATGCTCTGATTTTAGGGTCCAAATCTGGTTTTTGGGCACCCTATCGCATGATATAACCTGTAAAACATCTGAAACAGTACCTGGTTTATGTTATTTTGAGAGCTTTATCAGAAGCAGGACGAATCCGAATAATTAGAGACAATTAGAACTTATGTTTTTTTGGGTGGTTTCTAGCAGATTTCGACCAGAAAAGTAGCGGCTGGATGAAAACCCATACGATATTCTGAACCACCCTTAAAACTAGAGTAAATCTGCATGCATCTCAAATCATTTTGTGAACTTTTTTTTTCGTTGAAAAATTTACTGGTGGTACCTCTTAGGGATCAGTCAAAAAATGAACTTCACCAAAAATGCTGCTTTTATTGTTTAGCTATTTGTCAATTCGATTTTTACTTTTATTTTACAGACTTAGAAGTTGATAAACACTATTGAAATAACTTCTGGATGAAGTTCATTTTTTGACTGATCCGTGAGGGGTACCAGGAGTAAATTTTTCATCGAAAAACAAAGTTTACAAAATGATTTGAGATTCATGCAGATCTACTCAAGCTTTAAGGCTGATTCAGAATATCAAATCGGTTTTCATCCAGCTACTACTTTTCTGGTTGAAATCTGCTAGACACCACTCAAAAAGCCGTAAGACCTTGTCTCGAGTTGAGTATTCTTGAGGTTTAATTTGATAACCAGTGTTTTTTTTACAGTTTAACGGTAGATTTGGATGGAGCTTGAAAAGTTACATTGAAATTTCATACTCGCATCTATGTTCAAAACTGTTCACTGTACTAGAACAGAACTTTAGTAGTGTCCACTGCGTCGATCTTAGCCTGATTCGGCCCGTGTTTCGTAGTTACGAAGTTTTAAACTCGTTCTAATTAGCCCCATTCGTCCTGCTTCTGATAAAGTTCTAAACATAACATACACCAGGTACTGGTTCAGACGTTTTGCAGGTTATTCCATCCGATAGGGTGCCCAAAAATCAGATTTACACCCTAAAATAAAAGCATATATGTTAAACTCGAAATCCTAACCAGCAATACATTCTGGAGAATTACGATGAGGATATTTGTAACCAGCATGGCTGACTTGCTATTTGTTATAGCTTTAATTAATTAAATTTAAAAAAAAATTCAAATTCCCGTAGGGGAGTACAGGGGTGGTCAACCCGGAAGTTATTTCAAACAGAATGACCGTGTCATATTTGTGGTACATATGAACCTTGCAGCTGTCATATAGTTATTTCTTGAAAATATTTTGGACCGAAATGTGTCCTTATCGAGGCTCGTCCTTTATTATGGTTTTATTGGATTGCATACATTTAGTTTCAGCTCGAAAAATAACCGTAACTCTAGGCCTAATCAGAAGAATGTCCCATTAGTCAGCATGGAATGTTGTGTAATACATAAATCAATATTTATTATAGTCTATCTTTTCCAGGAGTGCAGTCTCTTATTATTCAGAACGAAACACTGTTGAACACTTCGATCATCTTGCAGAATCCAGTACCAGAACTATTGATTTGATCAGAATGATTTCTACTGAGGACTATCTTTTAATGGTAATACGTATTGTTGAACTCTATACAGTCTAGTAAATATTGAAAAAGAGCAACCCTTTTTGTATCAAAAGCAATAATCTTCAATTGAGTCTAATTTGAAGTCTTTATGACTGCTTGACGTCGATCGGAAACTCATTGAACGAACTTCCTGTCATTTTCTTTATGATCAATAATAATTTGAATATTAGAGGAAAATTCAATTTTTATAGTTTTCTCGTGCTTGTTCCTGTCATAATATATTTTACAATTTGAGAATACTATTTAAAACATTTTATTCTATATGCGTATCATTTTATAGTGAACAAAATCGAATAATGTTGGATACGGCACGCTTCACTTATTACTTTCCTGCTATATCTGCCTCTTTTGAGCATGATATTTTTACTCGACTACAACGTCTTTACTTTCGTGTTCAATCTGCTTTTATTTCATTCCAACGAATGTCACGATATCCGGCGACTTTTACAGATGTTCCTTTAGTATTGACTGAACCATTTATATTACGTGGTTATCGATCGACTCATCAACCATGGTCTTACTATTGGAAATCATTATTTCATAAACATAATGAAACAATCAACGTTTGGAGTCATTTAATAGGCATATTATACATGATACATTTATTATATTATTATAATCAACGATTGCAATTTTTTGAAAATGCTCATTCGTGGCCATTTGTTGTATCATTGTGTACGGCAATCATTATGTTTATGAGTTCAGCATTTGCACATTTATTGCATTCAAAATCTGAAAAAATTCATAAAACTTGCTTTGCAATTGATTATGTTGGAGTTAGTTTACATGGATTTGGCTCAGGATTTCTTCATATCTATTATTCAGCACCACAATGGTATTATGATAAAATTGAATATCAATACATATTTATTCTGCTTTTACTTGGTATTCTGGCTTGTTTTTTAAATTGTTTTGCTCAATA